TAAATACTTTTTTGCCCCACTCAAAAAAGTATTTAGTCAGCCACCAATTAGACAAAATGAGAAAAAAAAAAAAAAAATATCCAGAAAAACACATTGTCTGATTTTTAAAGAATTTATTTGCAAATTATGGTGGAAAATAAGTATTATAGTATAAATACTTTTTGCCCCACTGTATGTGCCACAGCCACATGGGCATCCCCGAGCACATTCACCAGATACTACAGGGTGAATGTTGCCGCCCCTCACCCGCTGGGTGTGGTCCTCCTACAGAGTCCGCCATCCTTATAAGGTGAGTGTTCAGAATTCCTCGTGACTCTGTTGGCATAGGTCATCCAGTGCTAAAGCACCGCCTCTGGCGGTCAGTAAGGGTGAAATAGAACGATAGTTACGTATGTAACTACGGTTCTATGAATCCTGGATGACCGCCAGAGTTCTGGGTCACTCGGAATCTCGTGTTTCTGCGAGAAGATCCCAGAGGACTGAACTCGTTGACAACACCGGAACTTATGCCTTCCGGGGTCATACGAGGTCACACGTGACTTTGTTGATATAAATATTCGACCAACGCATGCGCGAGACAGAAGATATTCAGTGCTAAAGCACCGCCTCTGGCGGTCATCCAGGATTCATAGAACCGTAGTTACATACGTAACTATCGCTTTACATCCTTGCTTTCCCTGGTAAAATAAATAATCTTTTTTTGGGTGCCTAATCACTCCTCCACCTGTCTCTAAAAAATACCCAAATCCCCCTGTGCCTGATGCTGCCTTCAAAACAAATGCACACATTCCAAAATTCACTTAATTACACTACACAATGACAAAATGTGTATATGCAAAAAAGCATCTAAGTAAATGTTTAACTCAAAATGGAATAGTTCCAACAGATCTAGTTTTCTTTTGCTAGGGCTTATTTGCGACCGCTGTCCCTGGTTAGACTTTTCTATCATCAGATAAATTAAGCACTTTATTCTGATACATGATCATACAAACATTTCAATATTTCTATCATGCTACTACATGTGTTGAGTGAGTGATTGTGGCAGAATGTTTCTGTCCAGTCAGAGGAGGACACTCACCCCCTCCGGATGGTGTAGTACTTCTTCACTGCAAAGCGCTGCAGCCGCTCCACTGCTCCGGCCTCCCTGCGCTTCTTCACCTCCTTCATGCGGCGCTGCCTCTTCAGGAACAGCTGCACGATGGGGTCTGTGGAGTTGACCTCTGACCCCTCATCGTCTGCAGTGATGAGAGGCTGCAGCTCAGGAGGGAGGGGCTCGGTTTCTATGGGAAGATATAAAGTCAGCATTGCATGATCCTAATTCGCTCTTCAGGAAATGTTTCTTTACATTTGGATGTAGATGGAGATGTTATCACATGTTCAGATGGTGTACCTTTGAGTCTATTTTGAATATAGTTTAGATTAAAAAAGCTGTAATAATAATGTAAAGGGGGAGGTAAGGGGCCCGTGAAGTACTTCTTTTAAAAATGTCCTTTTATATTCCAAATCTGCCATTTTGTGTGCGTGCGCGAGCGACAGAGAGAGCGCACCGGTACCGGAGATCGTTGTTGTTAGCATCTGGTGCTAGCTAGTTACTCTAAAGGCCGCTACACACCAACCTGAGACCAAAGAACGTGTACCGAAGGCGTCCCGACTTTACGTCCGCATCGGCTACGCCACCCGCCTACGCCGCCCGTATCGGCTACGCCACCCGCCTACGCCGCCCGCCTACGAACACACCGCAAAGACTTCAGTCGACGAGTGGCAATAACTGTCCTTACCAGCAGGCAGCGGTAGTGTGTATTCGTCATTCAAAAGAGGCAACAGCCAATCAGAGTGATTTCTTTGGCCGACTTTCTTTGGTGAATCGGCTGCGGGAGGTGTGAAAATGTGCCCTAAAGCAACGACGGTGCGGGACACACAGACCTGAGTAGAGCACCGCGAAGTCCCGACTGCCTCTGACTCCCAAAATCGGGTAGGTGTGTCAGGGCCTTAATGGATATAAGGAGCTGTTTCCACAACAAGGTGAAGGGAAAGTCCTCTCCTGTCAGACTGAGAGACTCAGTGAGGTAAAGGACTCTTGAGTGTTTAGATAGTTAACTTTAGTCTAAGTTATCTCAGTGGGTCTCAAACGGTTTGGTCACGATTAATGTAAAGTATTTCCGAGGCACACGTGTATATGATCATTATAGGTATAGAAAAATAAGAGAATAAATGAAAAACAGGTAGGCTATGAAATACAATATGACAGTAAAACAAGTATACCGTTTAAAAAGGGGAGTAATTTGTAAAATATCCATAAAGAAATAGATATTTACAGTTCTGTTTCATATGGGTGTTGAGACATGAGAATCTCTTCATTTTTCTCTCAAAGTGCACCAGATTGATGCATTGAACTTCAATATTTAAAAAACAATCTTCCCGGGGGATTATGCCCCCGGACCCCCCTAGAGGATGTTAGGTACACACACCACCGAAAATAGCACTTTACCCCTGCTTAAACCTATATGCCCTGAACTGATTATCGAGCCTTCATTGTAAGAGTCGCGGGTACACTGTGTATGTGCGTGTGGGGAATGTTGCAGTAGAAAATTCCACTGTAGCGACCTACATAAATTGGAAACCCTAAATGTTTGAGCACCCTCTATGAAACGTCAAGCTACCCCACAGCACCCCCAAAAGAAAATCTCTGGCGCCGCCACTGGCCATTTGTACCTGTCCCGTTGCGGACTCGCTCCTGAAGCTCGAACAGTTTGGTGAAGTTCTCCTGTAGTGCTGTCTCTGTGGTGTTGACGTAGATGTACATGTAGCAGGACGGGCCCTCTGACACTGTGTACACCTTATGGTAAGCCCCAGCAGGTACCTAAACACACACACACACACACACACACATTATGTTAAGTGTTGAGTGTGTTAACAGTATAATTATGAAGGTGATGATAGTGTGTTGCTTTACCTTTATCTGCTCTCCAGGTGTGAGGGTGTAGTTCTTCTTCTCCTCTACTACCTCCACGTTCACTTTGCCCTGCAGCACATGAATGCTGGTGTTGCCCAGATCCTCACTTACAAAGTTTTCTAAGTTGAGACCTACAGAAGTAAAATACTGTAATTTAGCACCAGGGGCAAAGGAAGTTTTCAGAAACATTACTTAAGTAAAAGTACCAATACATTATTTTCAAAATACTCATTTTCACGTAAAAGTCCTACACTTATAACCTCACCTGAATAAAAGAACAGAAGTATTTTCAGCTAAATGAATGAAAGTATCAAAAGTACAATTATTAATTATTCAGACAAATGGCCTCCATGTGTGGTGTATAATTAAATATTCGTTATTAGATGGTCTATATTGTTGCATCAAGTAGCATTTTTCTCTTCTATACAAACCCAGTTCTAATACACTATTGGATAATTTTAGCTTTTTGTACCTCAAACAATTAATAAACTGGTTTAATCCTTGGAGATGCATTATGTTAAAGGTTTAGTATATGTTTTTGATGCAAAATCTTAATCTAAAAAAGTCATTAAAACTGTAAAAAACATTTAGTGGATTAAATGAAAAATAAATGTCCCCTTTGCATGTATTGGAGTAGAAGAATAAAGTAGCATAAAAGTACGTATTTGAGTAAATGAACTTAAGTACAGTTTTTGAGTAAATGTACTTTTCACCACTGGTTACAACAAAGTCAACCTGTGAAGCACAAACAATTATTAGGTGTAAAAGAAACAACAAACCAAAAGCAAAATTATACATTATCTTTTAAATAAAAGAGAGGAAAAGGAGAGATTTTTCACCTGGGAAATCAGCAATAAAAACGATGTCAGTCTGATTGTCCAAACTTCCCTCGATCTCCTGAAACTTAGTCCTCCAAGGTGAGAGGTCCACCAGGAGAGGCATCAGCCACGCGTTCGGTCGGAAAGGAGACCAATCGGCTTTCACCACGTCCACACGAGGATCAAAAATCCTAAGAGAAATGTCCGGATCAGATTTGAAAACCCACCCTTAACTTTTATTATAACATGATTTATTTTAAACGCCTAAAGTTATCACATTTATAGCATCTTCTCTCAAGCAGGAGGCTCTCCTACCTTTGCTGGAAGCGTTCATTGATGGACACCCAGATGTCAAAGTAGATTTCTGGTTCAGAGATGTTATAGCGGGGCAGGAACTCATTGAGGCACGTCCCATACTGCTTCAGCATGTCTCCGTGGTCTTTCCAGCGACGGCTTTGTGTGAAAACCTGCAGAACATAGTTTTTATAAGAAGCCGGCTAAACAGAAATAAAAAAAAAAATCACTATATAGAATGTAAAGTTAGATATTTTTAGAAACCAGTTCCCCTAAACGCTACACCACAGGAGAGAGTATGATGGAATACTATACTTTAACATTTAGCTGAAAAATAGTATCAACTTTTTTTTTACTATATCTTGGAGTTATTTTTGTATTGTGTGTTTTTTAGTGTCTGTGAGAGAGGTGTGTTTGCTTGTGTGACACACTCGTTTTAATTCCCCTTCTGTCCAGTGGGTGGTATCAGCGTTTCAGGTGAATCAGTAATCACCAAACAGGTGTGTTGATATCGGGAATGGCTCACTTTTCTTGACTACACCGTGTGCCACGTGACGCTAGAGCCATGCATGTAACTAAAATAAAGTGCTTATGTATCTCGCAGACTGTGGAGGAACGGGTTGGTGTACGTAAAAACACACTTTCAGAATGACTTTGGGACGTCTTAAAATGCTAATTATTAAACCGAGCTGCCGCAAAAGGCAACACGTCATAAAACTAGTACCGGTACAACCTGAGCCGGTAGGTTTCTGGTTTGTGGGCCAAGTCCAATCAAAACATAAGTCAAAGAACTAGCATGGATGTGTTATTTGCACTGCGGCAGATTTATCGTGGGATTTCTTTGCATTTTTGTGTCACTGGCTGATGCTCATCTGCAGACAGACGGCGTGCAGCGGCTTTCTGAGGCATGTGTTGCATTACCTACTTCAATAAGAGCCAATTGAAATCGTGTATCGTGCACACCTCTTTGCGAGAATACGTGGAAGAAATACTCAGATCTTGTTGTACTAAAGTAAAAGTACCAGAGTGTAGGAATACTCCGTTACAAGTAAAAGTCCTGCAATCATAATGTTGCTCAAGTAAAAGTACAAAAGTATTGACACCAAAATATACTTAAAGTACAAAAAGTAAAATAACTTATTATGCAAATTGAACCATTTCAGAAAATGCTGAATTATATTTCACATCATTAATCCAAATCTGTAAAGTAACTAAAAGTACTAAATACATTAAGTGGAGAAAAAGTACCCGATTTACCTCTGAATTGTAGAGTAGTAGAAGTACAAAGTAGCATAAAATTAAGTACAGCACTTGAGTAAATCTCCTTAGTGACTTAGTGACACCTCATTGTGAGCGACTTCTAATGCATTGGTAAATTGCAGTACATTTTGGTATTAGATATTTATGGACACTAAAGGGCCAAATACAACAATATGCACAGTTGTAAATCGGCAGGCCTGCGGTGACTGCTGTGGCATTGACTATCAATAAGGGGAGTAGATAAACCACATCTGCAAAATTGCATTTGAAAAATAATGAATAGTCTCCAAGGAAATGTATATAACAAGGCTAGAAATCAGGAACTATTATCACATATTATCAAAACTAGCTGCACTGAAAATGCATAGAGCATAGAGCCAAACAACAGAATTAGACATGCCAATTGTCATAAAAAAAGGTGCAATTCAAACTCGTAAACAATTGGAGAACAATAGAGCATACCATATACGAGAGATATAACAGTGGAGCTCTGTTTTCTGTATTATTCATCGAACATCAAGTCAAGATCGTTTCTGATTCAGTCTGTGGGGGGAGGCTAATTGTTGCATCTTTTTATGATGCACCAAACTCTTCTTTTTCATCTCTTTTTACAATACTGTTGTGACGGCTGTCGCCTTGCTTTATGCATTAAGCGACCTGGGACCATTCTGTGAGTGTATATATATACATATACATATATATATATATATATGTGTGTGTGTATATGACTGCCTTTAGGTACTATGGTTACCGCGTTGGCGTGACGTTGTTTGGCTCCTCCCACCGGAAGAGGTCTGGACGACGACGCTTGATGACGCGGGATGACGCTACTTAAGCTGAAACGCTGCTGTCATTCGAGGCGCTGGATTTGTGCCAGGAAGCCTCGCTACTCTACTCTCCCAAATGTTTGTGTATGTTCTGTGACTTGTGACGGCGTTGAATTTGTGCTAGACGCCTCACTATTTTTGCCTTAAGAGTCCACATTGTTCTGTGACTGTGATACTCTGTGGCCTTCGTTTGTGTACTTATATTATAAATAGATAGCTTCTTGTTTAAAGAGCCTGTACTTTTGTTTATATCATTTTTATTTGAGTTTTTTATTAAAATCAAGCTCTTACCAAGAATATCTGGTTTCGTGTTGCTTCCCCTTTTACCCTAAACGAGCTGGGGACGTAACACTTTGATTTACACTGTGTTACATCAATATACTATAGTGAAACATAGTTGTAGTGATGACATTTGAATTGACAATCTGTACTATGACTTTTAAACGACAAGCGAAACTAAAGCGTACTATACTACACAATGAGAGATTTTCTTATACCATTAAGACAGCGTGTACTCCCTACATACTGTGTCTGACGGTATTTTTTTCTTGTAACTTACCCCTGGGTTAAGATAACCAATTTCCCCAGTTTTTCCATCTTTGTAGGTGATCTTAACATGCTGATGGCTGCGGGAGTGAACCATCATGTCCCATGAGTAGCCGTACAGGCCATTGGTCCAGTTGTTGTAACCCTAGAGAAAAAAAACACAACAAAATATTAGGATAATTCCACGCTCTAAGGTAACATTGTAAAAGGTTTCTCACCCTTTTCACCAGTTTTTAATAAAGCTGTACAACAAAAAAACGAATGTGTTCATATATACTGGATTGTAAATATTGACTTTTAGGGGCTTTGTGCTGACAACACCATCTGTTGTTTGCTGTGGATCAATGATTGGTGACTAAGATTGAGCAACTATCAGTCCGCTGACAGAGAGAGTTAAAAAGGCTTTTGTTGTCAGCAAAGTACAATCTTATTTGAAAGAATGTCTCTCTGTAGAAAAAGCCCTGGAGAACATAATCCAACCATTAACTAATTGGTTTGTTGGATTAAGTCAGCTTTAAAACTATATTAGGATATCAAATGTTTTAAAAGATTGGATACCTGCGTGATGAAGTGGGAGTAAGGCAGGAAGAACTGTTCCATAATGTAGAGAATAGTGAAAATGGCTCCAAGCTTGTGCTTTAGTCTCATTTTGGAAGCTTTTGGGACAGTCGGGGTCTCCTGGCGCTCGGTGCTAGTGCTTTGGATCTCATTGTAAACACAGGAGGTGCTGGGCTGAGGGTCCGTAGAGGTGATTGGCAGGACTGCACTGAGGAATGCTGGGAAACGTGCGAAGAATCTCCTCGGCCAGTCAGGGTAGCAGAAGATGGGACTGGTGGCGAGCATAGTGTAGGAAAACATCCCTGTAGAAGATTAACACACTCCATAAAATGAAGTTAAAGTATACCATACAAATGTAAAGTATGCATTACAACAGAACAGGTGTTTGAATGAAGACTCACCAATGCTGAAAAGCTGCGAATTCATACAGTGGAAGTAGGAGACGAAGAAAATTCCATAAGGTCGTGTGGCATCAAAAAACAGCAGGTAACCAGCGGACAGATCCAGAATAAGACCACCTCCATGCACCACCAGCAGGTTTATTAACTCCACAGGGAGAATTACTCTGAAAAGTAATGTATCGTACAGCAAATTCAGAGTGTTAATACTGAGATACAGCAGCATCTCATTGAAGGCTTAAACGGAACATTTGCCACCTTTTTATGTTGTCCATTCAGTGTTGATGCTTAATGCAATAATTAAAGCAATTGCTCAGTTACTGCTGGATTGTTGATTTCTCCTGCTGCTAAATTTGTTTTACTTTCTGCATTTAGTGCCATTTAGTTAGCTGTGTTCCCTTTGCTTGTCTTGCAAAGCAGCTACATTTCCCACAGCAAAATTGGCAACCCAAAACATGAAGGCAGAGGACGTTATGGACGAGAATACATTAGGCAGTGTTTTAGCTGATTCCGATATAAGGGCGTATTTGTGAGAGCCAGCGCATAAGGCCAAAGAAAGGCAGAGAGAGCAAGAGTCTGCACATTGCATCCTGGTACATGTTTGAGCTGATAGCATGGCAACACGAGCAGGATGTAGCTTTTTCGAAATAAATATAGTGCACACTGAGGACTTAATTGAATCAATTGACTACATTTCCCATCGACACTAATTGGAAATCAACAAAATAGGTTGCATATCTTAGGACTGAGCTGCCACCTACTTGAAAGGATCAAAGAGCCAATGGTGAGCCAGGTATGACATTGAGTATCCCTCCACCCAATCAGCATCCAACTTTTTGATTCCAGCAAGGAAGTATACAATGAATATCTTTGATAAACAAAAAAACATTGACTTCATTAGATCACCTGTACCAAAGGCCATGCTCATGTTGAATAATTCAAAAAGTATGTCACTTGTGCACAAACCTGTGTCCTCAAAATGGTGTAATTCCACAGAGGCACCTGAGCATTTCTTATTGAAGGCCTCCGCAATCCATCGATTGACCTACAGACAGAAACAGACATAAAGGTGTTCTGTTGAGCTCAATCATACAGACGGAGCAGAATTTCCAGGAGCAAACAAAGAGACAGACATATAAACATAATTTTACCAGTATCTGTTGCCCTCCATGAGTGTGAGCTGAAACCCGATGAGGCCGTAGAGGTACGAGTGATTGTTCCAGGCCGTTTTATCCAAAAAGAAGACGTACCAGTAAGACGAGATGAACATGAGGCCGGAGAGACGGTAGAAACAGCCGAGCATGATGCCCAAAGCGCCTTCAGTGAGACACAGAAACAGACATTTTCAAACAGAAGCATGCATTTAGAGTTAGAGACGTGGGTACTCTTCAGACAATTGGGGTCTAACCAAAAGATGCTGTAGTGTTGCATTATGGGAAATATAGGCGTTTGTCGTTAACTAGGGACTCTTCAGGTTATCTGTCTGACAGCGCAGACCAATGCCGAGGCCAAATTCCTTGCAAATCTTGCAATGTTTACAAAAATAAATAAGCATATGTGTATTGATGCTCTAAAGACCAAGTGAGGACAGTAGCTTTTTGTTGTAAGCCTACGGACAAAAAAAAAAAAAAAAACTAGCAGAGGAAACAACCTTTATATAAAAGCTTGATTAAATGTTGGAAATGTCAGTAATTAAGTTGGTTTTATAGTGTGAACTCAGTGCGTATTATTATTTTGTACGCCTTTACCGGGTACAACATGCTGGTGTGTCCAGTTGGTATTGTACTAGGTTTGTAGCTCTAATGATTTTCTTTATCAGTATTTAATTACTTTGTCTGTTTGCTGTTTGCGTTCTTGATACAGAAAATGCTAAATATGCATTAGTTGTAAAAATCTTTGTATGATTCAAAATATGCATGAGTTAGTTGGCTTGGTGGCAAAATAAAGTGGAAAATTGCAGGTCTTGTATGTGTACTTTCATCTTCCCCACAGACAGACACCCCACAGAGCCCGCCTCCTGTAAAACGATTGCATCCGCTTACACTTGGAAAGAGGAGGGGGAAGGAGGGTTTTCCTCACTAAGCCCCAGTAAACACTGTTGTATGAGCTTTTTAACCTGTAACTTTTTGGACATAAGCTTATAAATATAATAAAAAGGATTGTTACACACCAAAGAACATCACCACATACACCAGATACATCCAATCCAGCGGCAGCGGCTTTAAGAAATTAAAGAGGGGGAAGCGGCACACAGGGGCTCCATCCATGAATTTATAGTCCAGGTGACTGAGGCCACGTTCCTGAGTGATGTCGATAACCATCAGCAAACCTGCAAGAGACAAACATAAAGTGGAAGGGAACAAGCTTTATTCAGGAACCATCTCAACCCTGTTGCAAAAGGGTCATTCAATACCAACCAGAAATGGTGCTGAATGTTTTAAGCAATCAAATTAGTTTTAAAAAATGTGTATCTCTAGCAAACTAGTTTTAATTTCCTTGCGACCGCATTTTGATTTTGTGTAGTATTTGTTTAGTTAAAAGTTTGTCCTGCATTAAACAAGTGTGCAACATATTACTAAGTTTAGATTTTTTAAAAGATATTTTGACTGAAGAATTCTTATTTTAATTTCCTCTAAACTTTTTCCTGGAAAGTGAAAATATTTATTAGAGATGTATAGATTTCTCTTGTTTGACAAAATCACATTTTGACCAGCTATAATGTAAAATCCATTGGTTTTATTTCATGGGTAGATATTTGGACTATGTTGACTTTAAGTTTTGAATATCTGTGTAAATGACGTAGCAGTCAGTCTTGTCTGAGCATTAACTTACCAAACAAGCAGCGGAAGATGCCCAGGGATGCGGGGTCAGAGGGGCGGTTCAGGAGGGTCACCAGGCTGTCCCAGGACGTCAGGTCCTCTCTTCTGAACCCAAAGATCTTCTCGAACTTGCCTTTGGTCTGCGGTGTATCTTTTGTAGGAGCTGCATCCTCCTTTGCAGTTTGTTCCTCTCCATCACTGCTTACAAGCGAACCTAGAGGTTTAATGGAGCACAAACATGGTACGATGAGGTCTTCGTATGACTAAGAGCAAGATATTGAGTGTTGAACACAATGTCAACTGAGTCATTGTGCTTTAAACAGTAGGTTATTCATTTACAAGGAATTTCCCTTGGTGTTTGGTACAACAAATATATTAAGAGGAATATAAATACATGCTGCAAAAGTCAAGAATATATAGATAAGGAAATGATATATTACAGTACAAATATTGTTTAAAGATCCTATGAATAATATGTAGAATACAACTGTGACATGTAGGCTACAATATAATAGTCATGTACACTACATTACATTAGATGTTACTTGGTGGACGCTTTTATCCAAAGCGACTTACATACTCAATACTGTGGGCAATCCCCACAGAAGCAATTTGGGGTGAAGTGTCTTGCCCAGGGACACAACGACATGCTGACTGCAGTAGGGTTTGAACCTGAGTCCACAGCCTCCCATGTATACAATATAACTAATATGTAGGCCGTAATATATCTTTAGTAGGAGCAAAATAATCTAATATATAATCTACAATGTAACTGTAGTGTGAAATTTAACTTTGTAGCTTTTACAGGACTTGCAAAAATATTGACCAGATTTCAACATGCATTCACAAAACGTATATCTCTTATCTGCAGACCAACTCGACTGTGAGCTTCTCCTCGGTTAAATGCCGATCTAACTGGTTATTATTGGTTGCACACCGCCACACTGACTGTCTGCTAACAACCTCACCTGCAGTCGCGTCTCTGGCCTCCATGCTGCAAAAAATTTCAGAATAAAACGGATTTTGGATGTGGACAGGGGGTCAGAAAAGTCTCCCTGCCCCAGGTGGAGGTTTGCTGCCTGGTCACGTCTCTGAAAGGGACAAAGTTACGTGTCATATCCCCACACACACAGGCAAGTCAGGGCAGAGAGAGGAGGCGGATCAGTCGGGAGGAATGTTATGAAAGCAATGCTCGTCGTCTATTGGCTGGTTCTTTCAGCTACGCCCACTATGGAGTACCACCAACGTCATATCCTGTCGGTACATTTCTCACTTTATTTTGTATTTTCTTTTATTAAACGCTAATTAAAGAACGTACACGATATAATACTGTATATGCAATCTAAAATGATGATTAAAAAGAAAGTCAATTATTAAAATTTTACCAGGAGCAATTCTCAATGAGATTAATAATATCCAGAAAAAGCAGCATCATAATTAACAATGTTGCAGACACAAAAACAAACCGTATAACAATGAAAACAAAATGGGTAAAACGTATAATTAAAAGTCAAAAGAATCATTACATTTCAAACATTCATCAAAGATTGTTCACACATAAATAAACATACAGTACATCATGTGAATATTCTTGAGACAGTTGTAAGCTACTTTCTGATATTGCCAGTGTCTAATACCTTTCAACATCACAATGAATTGCGTTGTTATAGGCACAGGCACACAACTATTAGTAGGCTAAATATTACAGATTTTTTATTTGGCACTTGGAAAAAGGTCTGAGTTTATTCCGAATTTAAATTATTCCGAAAATAAACAGGCATTTTGTTGCTTTAACTTTTTCCTTTGCTTCCATTTTATAGCCAACATATATTAATATGCTATTAGATTTGTTTTACTATTTTTTCGGTTCACATCTGCATTGTAGATCCTGATTTAAAACAACCAGATTAAGTCCAGTTTATAGAATTTGAACTCCTTTAATATCAAACTATAAAACAGGGATGGCTTATTGAACAGGAGTAAACATACTAGATTATGGTGAAGGTCGACAGCTTTATAATAAAAACTGAACTCGACACTGTAAGAATTAATTTTCTCCAGAAGATGGCAGTAGTGCAGTGGTTCTCAAACTTTTTCTTCCATTCCCCACTTTGAACAGGTGGGCCTTTTCAAGGGTTATGGCTAGAAAGGATCCGTCTAGTGTAAATATGACGTCACGTTCTCGTTGTAACTCTCGTTGTAATCAGAGCGGCTCGGAAACACATCTACAGCAGTAACATGATGCAACATACACATTAATGCAGCAGCAATATTAATGGAGAAACATCAGACATAATAGTAAAACACTGCAA